CACTGCTCGTGGAGCGCGCCTGCCCGGGGCCGGCGCTGAGCAGATGCTGTGCAAAGTGCTTTGGGGAAGGTAGCCCTGCAGAGGCGACATCACAAACGAACGTGTGTTCGTTCCCCCGTGGTTGGTGTGTGATTGTGGCGATGGTGAGGTCAGTTCCGTAATGCCCTAACTGGACATCTGTGCTATATCGGACCCTGGTAAGAGTGACATACAAATGGGACTAAAAGAGCTCTCTCTGGTGGCGTAGTGGTCACACGTTGGGCCAGGTCAGCAGTTCCAAAGCACGAGCGGCTCCTCGGAACAAATGCGAAGAAAAAGAAATTGTCTTCTTGCTTGAAAGCGCTATTAGTATAGGGAGGCACACCAAAAGACCAAACTCACTGTCGGTGAGTCGGTGTCGACGCATAGTGACCCTATAGGACAGGGTGGAACTGCCCCCTGTGGATTTCCGGGACTAACGGTTTATTGGCCCCCCGCCGATTGGCTGTGGCTTTGAACTTATGGATTGCAGCCAAATGCATAACCACTACGCCATCAGGGCTCTTTAGTGTAGGGCAACACATACAAATTTAACCCAAAGCAAAAGCTGTGTGTTACGCAGCAGTGTCCAGAGAAAGAGTATTGATTTCCTTCTTTTTTGGGAAGGAGTCCCAGGGTGGCTCTTGGCTACTAACCAAAAGCCCCCAGAGGCAACTGGGAAGAAAACCTTGGCCATCTACTGAAAGGTCACAGCCATTGGAACTCTGTGGGTGAATAAGAACCCACTGGGGCCTTAGCAACCCATTTTTTTTTTTGGAATGATTCCCCTGCCTGATTCTTGAAGGAGGTGTGCTTAATCTGAGTTTTGAGGCACTTTGATTGGATTCACTGTGATCAGCAAAAGCAATGGTACCCAGCTGCTGTTGAGACGATATCAACTCATTGTAGCCCGAGGCGTGTCACAATAGCACTGTGCTCTATTGGGTTTTCAGTGGCTGATGCTTTAGAAGTAGATTGGTAAGCCTTTTTTTTTTTCCCTTTCTTATTCCTAAGGCACCTCTGGGTGGACTTGAACCCCCAGCCTTCTTGTTAGCAGCTGAGCACTTTGTCTGTTTTTATCATCCAGGGACTCCAAAGCCCTGGTAAATAAAGCATGCCATGAGAGGAAACCCAAATAAACTGGATAGTTTTAGAGACTCAAGATTAAGGCGAATAGTGATGTATGCCTCTGGAAAGGTGAATTAGAACCACATCACAGAGCACTGGGAAGCCTTGTTCAGGAGTGTGCGCTTTCTGTGGTGTCTGGAAAAGAGCCATTGAAAGGTGGCTCTTCCTTCCAGAAACCAACCGGTGATTGCAGCAGTGCCATCTACAAGTGGTCGTCGTGAGTTCACCCCAGGACCAGGCAGTACTTCCGTTGTGTTGTGCAAAGGGCTGTTGTGTGAGTTCCGAGTCATGTCAGCAACAACAAGCAACAAGTCAGCTTTGTGCAAAAATTATTTACTTTAAAACACAGTATTGTGGATTAACATTACATCTTATAATTGAGGAATTTGAGACTTAGCCTACTGCACTCAGTTGCTACTAAGTTATAGAGGTGGGTAAGCATGGGTATTTGTTTTGTTTTTTACCAAGAGGCAAGTCGCAAAGGGATGGAATGTAAGGTACATTGGGGACGTTAGATTTGAAAGGAGGAAGGTAATAAATGAACTTCCTAAAGAAGATTGAATTCAGTGTGGACCACAGTTTTGCGTAGTAAATTTTGTTGGATGAATAGTTGGATAAATGGAAAGAGAAAAGAGCTACCATTTGCTTTTTAAGAAGCAAGGCCCTTTTATTTAAGTGTTTCATTGATTCTTCATTATACTTATAGATCCTTAACCTGGCCTTAAAGCAACCCAGTTAAATAAATGCTGTCCACAGTTTACATATTAATTGCTTTCACTTATTTAGAGTTAAGTGATTTGCCTGTGGTCCAGTAGAATGTCCATTCGCCCTGGAAAAAGCAGAGGTGTTTATGACGCCCCTCATTACTCTTTCCTCAGCTCTGTTCCACCGAGCCCCAGTGGTCAGACCTGCGCTTGCCTCAGCATTTCTCCAGGACCGCTCTACTCCGGGGGTGCAGCACATCCACCTGTCCCCCAGTCACCACGGTACGGTCTTTTTCTTGCTGTTACTTTCTGAGCACCAGTCATCCTTACTGAGCTAATCATGCCTTTGGCAGGACTGGCAGTGTACACGGGAGACTCTGGTGTCTGACTGTCAAACACAGTGCCAGCATAGTCGAAGGATGCCGTTTCCCTTCATAAAGAAAGTAGCTGTTCAATACAGTTTAGTTGCTCTTCCTGCTGTAGGCAACGGGGGGGAGCCAGACATGGTCATTAGAAGAGTAGACAGTTGAGTCATATCTAGTGGAATGCATCAGGACTCCATAGCCAGTTGACTCACTTTTCTTTAGGTTATTAAGATCATACAACATTTCTTAGGTGAATATGGTTTAGATTGCTGAACTTAGCCTTAGAACTAGGTAAATCTATAGGTGAACAGTTTGAGTTAACTATATATGCATTTTAAAAACTCCAAGTCAGTATTTTACAGAGATCTTTTTTGATTCTCAAGTCAATTGCATATATACAGTTGCATCTGAGTTATGAGAGATTAGGCAAATGTACCATACATACTCGTGTATAAGCCGAGTTTTCCAGCACATTTTTAATGCAGTTTTTATGGTAAAATTAGGTGCCTCGGCTGATACTCTGGTCGGCTTATATTTGAGTATATACGGTAAGTGCCTTTTCTGCTATAAGCTTTTTATCTTTGAACATCTTTTTACCTTTGCTTAGTTCAGTAAGATTTAGTCAAAGGCTTTTAACTTGGGTAGGGTGGCAGGGAGGTTGTGGGGCTGTAGGAAAGCCCCTAAATTTATATATGTAGTTTTCAATTTATATGTTTCTTTTTTTTTTTCTGGGAAGGTTACCCCATCCCTTTTATTAGACTTCCAAAGGGGTCTGTACCCAAAACAAATAGAGCCTGCTAAAGAAATACTTAAAGCCCATATGGTTTTCTACTTGTTTAAAGAACATATTCACACTCTATCTATTTGGAGCTATTTATAAGCTATGGGACAGAAGAACCATGATCTTAAAAGTTGAATAGGGTTGTGGGGTGAATCAGAACTTTGCTTCTCACAAGCTAATTGGTTTAATTTTGTTTTGAGAGGATTGCTAATATTACCTCCAAAGATTAGAACATGTAAATAGACAAGCAGTATTTTAAAGGCACTCCTCAGGCATTGTTTGCTTCTGTTCCTAAGGTGTCTGTCTAATTCACTGAAGTCCATGATTGGCTTAACTCTAGAGATACCTCACCCATCTTGCCTATAAGCACAGTGGATCTGCCTTCTAATTCAGAAATTAGGGGCCTTGAGATAGCCTTATGCTAAAAGACTTCAAAAAAGGGAGATCGCATCTCTCTGCATGACCTGCTTTTCTATCTAGAGTTCCAGCTTATATTTATACTGTTGGCTCTTCTATTGGATATTTGGTGACGTTATGACATGCTGACTCTGTGTGTGTATTTGCCCTTCATCTCTTATGAATTTGGTACTTTTAGCTGGCTCCAAGGCTGCATCTGTCCACTGGACTGGTGAGAGGGTCGTCAGTGTTTTGCTCCTGGGCCTGCTCCCAGCTGCTTACTTGAATCCCTGCTCGGCGGTGGACTACTCCCTGGCAGCAGCCCTCACGCTTCACAGTCACTGGCAAGTACAGCAGTGCCTTCGTGTTTGTCCTCTGCTCACTTTGTGTGCTGTTGAGCGAGCGTGGTTTACATGTTGCATGTGGGGAAGAAGTTGATTGAGCTATTTAAGACCTTCAGAAAATTTAAAACGTGAAACACATCACCAGATCTACTTATTCACCTGCCCATTCACTGTTTTCACTTGCATGTCTCACAGGTATTTTGATTAATGCATATTATACACCTGAGGTTCTGAATATATACTAAACCTGTTCCTCCCGGACTCTTGCCCACCTCGATGGCATTCTCAGCTTCTAGTTGTGTCCACTCTAGTCTTTGACATTGTCCCTAACACCTGTAGGTGGTGGTGTCTCTGACTGGCCTCCTGCTGCTGGCCTTGTCCCTCTTAGACCAGTGGCTCTGTTCAAATGTTGTCAGGTCAAGACTTTCTCCTCAAAACCCTTCTAAGAGTAAAAGCCAGAATGCTTACAGTGGCTCATAAGGTCTACATGAGCTGGCTCCCCATTTCTCCCTCATCCCAGGCACTTGCGCTCTCATTCACACTGGCTCACTTCCTGGATGTCCAGCAACAAGCTCTACAGTTACTGCTCCTTCTGCCTGGAACTCTCTTTTTCCTGGCATGGACTTGGCTGTTTCTTCACGTCCTTCAGATCTTAAATGTACTTGTCAGCCACCCTTCTCTGACTGCTTATTCACAATCACCATGTCCCTCTCAACAGCCCGTAGTAGCCCTTTCCTGTGCACTCGTTTCCTTCTACAGTAATGCACCACCTTTTATTATTTGTCTCCTCCCACAAATACTCTCCTGGCACCAGAGCTACAGTAGCAAAAACTACCAAAATCTTTTTTTTTTTTTTCCAAAATCTTTACTGTATTTTGTTTAGAAAGACTGAATCATCATATCTAGGGATACAAAATGTAAGCAAACGCTTACTGTCAAAGTCTGAGTAGTGGTTAGTTAGGGGAGAAGGGACTCATGGCTGAGATGAGCACAAGAAGCAGCTTGTGGAGTAGGTGATGGAGCTCCTGTTTCTCTTCCTGGGTGGTGTGATCCTTCCAGTAAGCGATAGACATGACTTTCTATTTGAGCGGATATCTGCCTTCTTAGAGGTGTGATTCTTGTGATTCTCCTATCACAAGAATGGGAATTGCACACCGGCGTCTCCTCGGCTAGTTTTGTGCTTGTGTACTTGGCTCTCCTCCCCGACCCACACTGCTGCCAAGTGACCTTCTTACACAGTGAAGTATCTTTCTCCAGAGAAGATACACAGGAAAAGATGCTCAATATCCTTTAGTACTAAAGAAATGCAATAAAACACACAAGATGACCACTACAAAACACTACAAAATCAAAAACCAAACTAGTTGCATTGAGTAGATTCTGACTCATGGTAACTCCATAAGATTTTCAACGACGGTTATCTTTCAGAACACACACGCACAAAATCTCACCTCTATGCCATCGAATCGATTCTGATCCATAGCGGCCCTAGAGGATAGGGTAGAACTGCCCCTGTGGGGTTTCTAAGATTTGTAACTCTGTGAGAGTGTATATATGTGTGTGTGTGTGTGTGTGTGTGTGCGCGCGCGCGCGCATATACACACGTGCACCCATATACATACATACATATAATTATTATTTTATTATTTTAAAAATAAGGACAACAGCAGCCGAATAAGGAGCCCTGGTGGTTTGGTGTTATGTGTTCGGCTGTGGTCCGCATGGTCAACAGTTTAAAACTACCAGCAGCTCCATGGGAGACAGACTGGGATTTCTACTCCTGTAAACAGTTTTAGTTTTGGAAACCCAAAGGGGTTCTATATGAGTCAGTGAAGGCAGTGAGTTTGATTTGATTTTATGGAGAATTTGGAATATATGTATACACACATAACTGATGTCACATAAAATGTTTTAGCTGCTTACATATAACACCCTCCCTGGGGGATGGCCAACAGAAAAGTGGGTGAAGGGAGACGTTGGACAGTGTAAGACATGACAAAATAATAATAATTTATAAATTATCAAGGGTTCTTGGTGGGGAAAAATGAGCTGATACCAGGGCCTCAGGTGGAAAGCAAATGTTTTGAGAATGATGATGGCAACAAATGGACAAATGTGCTTGACACCAATGGATGGATG